AAGAAATTGTTGGTTATATGTTCAAAAAAATTATATTTGTGCCAAGAAAGGTGTATTTTGATAAAAAAAATGCATTTTTTTAATTTTAATTCATTAAATAATTGTGTAAATTATGGGCCAAGCAAAACTGATAAAAATAGTGATTTACTTTGTATTTTTTTTTAGAAAAAGAAAAAAATAATAACAGGAGTGAAAGTAACAGGATTGAGTTTTTAACCAAAAAATTATCAAAAATATGGCCACATAGCATTGACGCTAATAGCGTGAGGACACTGAGCCATTTCTAGTGCCTTACCAAAAGTTAATATTTTTAAAATAAAAACATTAAATCTAAGAAAAATTTTAGGTAACAGGATTGTATGTTGAGGTTGACCTTCTCATTCATAGTTAAAATTTCATCAAATATACCGAAATGAAAATTTCGTGACTTATAGTCGCCCCATTGCCTTCAGAAGATCCAGATGATGCAACTTACTGTTGAAAATGTGCCTTTGTTTTTCAGAGGGGGGATGTAATAGTGTAACAGGACTGAGTGAAAACCCGGGGACATGACTAAAATGTGTATTTTATCTAAAATATTAGATCAAATGTTTTTTTCTTTTTGATTTTAAAGCAGTTTGGATATAAAGTCACACAAAATCCGATTTCTGAAGGATTTTATTCATAATATTTAATGGTAAAGTTTAACGATCGAGAGTTGGGACATGCAGAAAATGCAATTTTTTTGTGTGTTCTGTGTCGTCTTTAATGATACATTTTTAATTTGTAGATAGCTTAATGTGCATGACATTTTGCTTAATAACAAAATGTATTTTAGAGTTAATTTTCATGCAAATTTATACATATAATGTCCCGGGGACAGAAATGTCACCCTTTTGGTGGAATGGCTCAAAAAAACTTGGTCAGCTCATAAATTCTGAATCATATATTCAAAAACCACTTGAACAAAGTTATATATATTGTTGATTTGTTTACTTGCATCCAAAAATGTTTAAATCCAGAGAAATAAGCAATTTTAACCAAAACACAGATGTCACCTATTAATGACATTATATTAATACTTTTGTTGTTTGTTAACAAATAATCATGACATATAGGCATTGTAGCATTGGTGTATGTTGATTCAGAGTAAAATATAGCAATTAAACATGCTTGATTATTCTCTAAGCTAACATTTATTATTTTTAATTATTATAGTACAAAAACATTTAGCTTGCTGAAACATGTTTTGTAAAGTGCCATGTTAGTTATTCTTCTGTTTCCATCAGGTCCAAACCAGCAATCCAGCATCGTCTTTCCCGATGATTCACACTCTTCCACATGTGAGTCGAGCGGCCCTCTTGCATCACTGAACAGAAAGCGCATGGGAGAAACGTCCCCTCCGGACTCTCCAATCAGTAAATCCCAGAAGCGTTCGCCTCGAGCCTCCGAAGACGAAGTCACAGGGTCAGACCTCCACTGGCAACCGGTGGCTCGAGACGTTCCCACAACCCTCCGGCTGATTCCCTACAGCGCCGCACAATCCGTTCAAATCCCACGGGATAACCAGCCGGTTATAGTTCTCAACCATCCCGACACTGAGATTCCCGAGGTGACGAACATCATGAAAGTCGTCCACAAGCACAAAGACGCCGTGCAACGGGTCGTACTGTCTCGCAAAACCCTCCGAGCCCTCTCAGATTTAAACGCCGATGACTTCCCGAATAACCTCATCGGGGATTGCCATGCATCCCATTTCAGGAGGGAATGGCCGAACGGGATGGTTAAGGAAAGGTTCAGCTTGAAATTGAAGCTTAAAAGAGTGTGCGGAAGGAAGTACACCGTGGTGCCGACAGTCTCGGAGCGTGTTGTGCTTCAGCCGACGTTCAGATGCTGGTTTTGCGGGAGGATTTTTAGAAACCAGGAAGCGTGGGTGGGACACGGACAGAGACATCTAATGGAAGCGACCCGAGGCTGGTTTAACAGATGATCGCATTCGCCATTTTTAAGAAGTGCTGTGAAAATCTCAGGGTGAGGAAAACACAGGTCCAAATCTGAGGAGATTTCATTCTTTATTGCGATATTCTATACTGGCAATTTATATGATTGACACGAGCCAGCGTTATTTATTTTGTTCCACAATGTGAAAAAGTACAGAGCATTAGTTAATACAGTGGTGTGAATAAGTTTGGACACCCATGCTAAAGTTGCCTAAAAAGAGGAATAAAAAATCATCTTTTTGATATTGATCTTAATGAGTTAATTAGAAAAATGAGGAAAACTCCAACCTTTAAGGACACCAATTTTCTTTGTGAATGAATAATGCGTCATAAATAAATAAATGTTTTTCCTTAAAATACAGGGTGCATGCTGTTATTTTTATTTTTGTTTGATTGTTCATTGTGTAAATTAAGAAATGCAAATTAAAAAAAAGAGGGGAAAAATACAGGGTGCATAAATGTTAAATTCCCATAGAGTCAGGCAGATTTTTATTTTTAAAAGCCAGTTATTTCATGGATCCCGGATAATATGCATCCTGATAAAGTTCCCTTGGCCTTTGGGATTAAAATAAGTAAAACCAATATTGGCATGGTTTTACTTCAGTTAGCCTAATAGCTGGTTTGATTTGCATTAAAAGATGATCTTATGGAAAGTACCCCATGCCAATCTCTAGGTGTGGTGAATGGTGTGTGATGATGTGGGGATATTTTAATATATATAATATCAGGATGCATATTATCCTGGATCCATGCAATAACTGGCTTTTAAAAATAAAAATCTGGGAAATGGGAATTTAACATAGGGGTGCCCTGACTTATGCACCCTGTATTTTAAGGAAAAAAATTTATTTATTTATGATGCATTATTCATTCACAAAGAAAATTGGTGTCCTTAAAGGTTGGAGTTTTCCTCATTTTTCTAATTAAGGCATTAAGATCAATATCCAAAAGATGATTTTTTATTCCTCTTGCATGGGTGTCCAAACTTATTCACATCACTGTATATTCAAAATCACTGCGTCAGACCAAATCCCTCTCGTACTGTGATCTACATCAGAGATTATTATTGCAAAGACCTCAGGAAATATAATAATATTCCACTGCTGTAAGATATATAATACTAATAGAGTGACCGAAGAGTCGTGTTTGATTCTAGACATATGTTTGTCTTAATAGCTTTGAATTCATTGTTTTATTATTTTATGTCTGGTGTGTGTAGTTGAAGCTGTTTTGCTTTACTAATCGACTTTAATTAGGCTTTTGAATGTTGATCCGTTGTAAACGACTTTCAAAGGTGCTTTAGCGTTCGTTTAAAACGACACCTGTAAGCAGAAGCATTTTGTATTTATGCTAATTGTCTTTATTTATTTTTTCAGCATGCAGTTGGCTATCTTACGTTACATGGGTTTGATTATGGATTAATTGTTAATGTATTACAGTCATGCAAACTGTGATGTTGTGGTCTCAGTCAATCATTTTAGTCTCATTTATGAAGCCAAAGGATTTTTTTACAGTAAGTTCAGTGATATCTGATCAGAATCATAATTTCGTGGATAACAGGTTTATTTTCACCGACTAAAAATGAGACCCTCGCTGACTTTTGATTGCACTGCTCTTAACAGTGGTGTCATTTGAAGATGGTCTTTATTCCAGGACTGTGATCCACTCACTTGAAAACCAAAGAAAATGTGTCTCCTATGTTTGTATAGACGTTTAAACACTGGTATAAGCACTAACAGCTGCGAATGACACCTTGTGCTGCTGTGTTGTAGAAGTGCCTCTAGAAGATCAGTAAATAAATCAATATAATTATTTTGAACATGCATTTGTTTTTTGTTTTATTTTGAGCCGTTTAAGAGAAACACGGTTATCAAACTCTAATCTAAATGTAGTATGTACACTTGTATACTGAAAAAAGAAATCTGGTGATACTTTTAGTTAGGATGCTACAGTTCAACAAAATGATCCTAATTTAAGACTAGATTTTTTGATAGAACATGCAGTGCTGGGGAACATTACTTATAATTAATGCGTTCTGATATTGCGCTACTCCCACAAAAGTTACTTTTATTTAAAGTTATAAGTAACTTTTGCATTACTTTTTATAACCTGGGCTAGGCTTGCTATGTTAAGGCAAAATCTAAAGGTGCTTTCCCAGCCAAAGTGAGATGAATAAGCCTCAGGTCGAAGGACGTGCAGAGTCTCACCTGTCCAGTAGAGGGAGCAGGTTACGTCGGATCAGTGATGGTCATTGGCTAATAAAATGAGATTTAATGCATCAAGTATATAACATTTAATTACTACAGGGCAGGGGCTTGCTAAGAGTTTTCATTGAAATTTTTATTCATTTTGAGGAATATGCGATCTGATTTTGTGCAAGTGAAATGAGTAAATGCATGCTCACATTTAGTCTAGAACTACAATAACCATCATGTTAGGCTACTTGTAATGCCTTAACCCAAACACTGAGAACATGCATTATGTAACTGGGCTTTTAACTTATATATATATATATATATATATATATATATATATGAAGAGTTCAGATGCAAAAGCCTCTAAATGCCATTTGAAATTTTCTTCTTTAATGATGATTTTTATCAAACTTGTATATTTAAGTTCAGTAATTTCACTTAAATAACAATTAATAGGTAATTATCATTGCCATTTAAGTGAAATCACTGAACTTAAATATACAAGCTTGATAAAAATGATCATTCTTAGAAGAAAATTTCAAATGGCACTTAGAGGCTTTTACATCTGAACCATTCATACATAAAAAGTAGCAAGTTAAGTAATAAAAAAGTAACTATGTGGTTAAAAAGAAGTCATTTTTATTTATGACATTTTTTTTACAATGCAGATATCGCTATCTGTAGATCTGACTTACTGCATGCTCCAAAGAATATTTTTCATTAACTCACGTGACTAGTCCACCTTATGTAAATTAAACGTAATTAACATAATACCCAACACAATAACTTTAGGTAAAAAGATTCATATTTTTTTTTTTTTCCTGCACACACTTTATATAAAACAAAATGTTTATCAATGATTCAACAACATATAAACATAAACTGTACAACTGTACCTTATCTGCACATATGCATCTTAACTTGGCGCTCATCTCTGCTGCTGCTGCTGTATTTTTTATAGATCGCTTCTAAATGTAAACATGCGTTACAACACGGACTTCTCTCATCATTGCAATGTTATTATCTCGAATGGAATTTACTGCGTCTCGCTTTCCGTCGCGTCAAATTAAAAATAGCGCGTTGTTTTAATTCTGTTTCGGAAATGCACGCCGCGCGCGCCATGTGGCAACGACCCAGTCATTCACTAAAATAAGTTATAAAAGTAGCAGCACGTTATCTGTTTCCAGCATCTATCAAGGTAAGATGTGAAACTATCGCACAGTTGTGTGTCAGGTGTCAGGTCAGTAACTATATTCGTCAGATTCGCTCTTGTTGATGTTGTTTCATGGCTTGACTGCATGCCTGAGTTTGGTGGAGTCTTTGGTGTTGCTCTGTGAGTCGACCAGCACTAGAGGATTCTTCTGGTGGTTCTCAATCATGTCAGAAACGCTGCTGAAATGCTGGAGAGTAAAGAGAGATGATAGTTCACTTTCAGAACTTTACCTGTTAAATGCAGTGTATTTGGACACTTAAGTCACACTTATCTAAATGCCATTTAAATGTGAGCATGCCATTAACTCAAAAGGGACTATTCTGATTTTTTTTTTTTTTTTTATAGAATATTCCAGCATTTATTATAAATGATTTATCCGAGCACATAACACAAATTAAAGCAATTCTGCAGTAAATAGGTAAAAAAAAAACAACAACAACAACCTACTAAATATCCACAAAAGCACAGCATAAATGTATAGTTGAGGAGTAAATAAAATTATAACACACTTATCGGAATGCAACTTAAACGTGAGCATTGACAATTCTTTTTTTTTTTTTTTTTGCATATTGCATATTTTTTATTGAATATTGCAGCATTTATTATAAATGATTTATTCGAGCACATAACAAAAATTAACCTGCCTCTTTAAGTAATTGTGCAGTAAATAGGTAAAAAAAAATACTAATTATCCACAGAAACACAGCATAAATGTATAGTTGAGAAGTAAATAAAAAATTATAAAACACTTACCGGAATGCAACTTAAACGTGAGCATTGACAATTCTTTTTTTTATTGCATATTGCATTTTTTTGTTGCATATTTTTATTGAATATTGCAGCATTTATTATAAATGATTTATCCGAGCACATAACAAAAATTAACTTCCCTCTTTAAGTAATTGTGCAGTAAATAGCTAAAAACAAATACTAATTATCCACAAAAGCACAGCATAAATGTATAGTTGAGAAGTAAATAAAATTATAACACACTTATCGGAATGCAACTTAAACATGAGCATTGACAATTTTTTTATTGCATATTGCATTTTTTTTTTTTGCATATTGCATATTTTTATTGAATATTGCAGTATTTATTATAAATGATTTATCCGAGCACATAACAAAAATTAACTTCCCTCTTTATTGTGCAGTAAACAGGTAAAAAAAAATACTAATTATCCACAGAAACACAGCATAAATGTATAGTTGAGAAGTAAATAAAAAATTATAAAACACTTACCGGAATGCAACTTAAACGTGAGCATTGACAATTCTTTTTTTTATTGCATATTGCATTTTTTTGTTGCATATTTTTATTGAATATTGCAGCATTTATTATAAATGATTTATCCGAGCACATAACAAAAATTAACTTCCCTCTTTAAGTAATTGTACAGTAAATAGCTAAAAACAAATACTAATTATCCACAAAAGCACAGCATAAATGTATAGTTGAGAAGTAAATAAAATTATAACACACTTATCGGAATGCAACTTAAACGTGAGCATTGACAATTTTTTTATTGCATATTGCATTTTTTTTTTTGCATATTGCATATTTTTATTGAATATTGCAGTATTTATTATAAATGATTTATCCGAGCACATAACAAAAATTAACTTCCCTCTTTATTGTGCAGTAAACAGGTAAAAAAAATACTAATTATCCACAGAAACACAGCATAAATGTATAGTTGAGAAGTAAATAAAAAAATATAACACACTTATCGAAATGCAACTTAAACGTGAGCATTGGCAATTCTTTTTTTTTTATTGCATATTGCATTTTTTTGTGTGCATATTTTTATTGAATATTGCAGTATTTATTATAAATGATTTATCCGAGCACATAACAAAAATGAACTTCTCACTTTAAGTAATTGTGCAGTAAATAAGTAAAAATCCACAAAAACACAGCATAAATGTATAGTTGAGAAGTAAATAAAAAAATATCTAGTTTGCCATCATGTAAAATAAAAAAATTTCCTCATGCAATCTCTGTAAAAGTTTGGGGTCAGATTCTTGAATACTGATTAAGGGTTAAACAGATTAACTTAAAAACGACTACGTTTTTTAGACTTTTTTGAAGTGTCCACATTCTTTTTAGGGCCAGTGTATATCAGCATGTCCTTCTTTACCTCCTCTCCTTGTTTTTCTTTCCCCAAAGCATATTGTTTGTTGGAAGCGATGTAGCGGACGGGGATGTTGTAAACTCGGCCGTTGTAAAACACCACGAGTGTGTACGGCTGCTGCGCGTCCACACCAGAGCTCTTCCTGAGCAGAAACGACCCGTCCTGAAATATTATACAATCAGACAAAAAGCCGCATACGGATTAGCTACATCTCAAATACACTCATGCATTTGGCAGATGCTTTTATCCAAAGCGACTTGCATTGCATTCAAGGTATACACTTGATCAGCAGCTCATGCATTCCCTGGGAATCGAACCTAGGCGTTGCAAGCGTCATGCTCGACTGTTTTAGCTACAGGAATAATGGCAGCCGGTATGTTTTAAGATTATCTGCATTGTCTGATAATCGTGTTTGTTCCATATTTCTAACAGTTTTGTCAAAGCATGGTTTACATTTTCTGGTTTTGAATATATTGGTGCATCTTGAGTTCATTTATTTTCTACAAATCATGAACCTGTTTCACATTTTTTGGGGTTCTCAGAAGCTAACGTAAACTATTTTTCCGCCCATTCCCAGTTGCTCCAGTTGCAAAATAAAAAAATCCATTACAAGTGTTCATGTGATTTTACAAAAAAGGAAAAAATATAATATATCAGTGTTCTATTGGCCACTTGCTTTTGCTGGAATGGGATTTCTAATGCATATCATTCAATGACGCTTTGTAAAATGCATCAGTGCTGTTTTGTGCAAGTCGGACATGCCTTAGCTAAGCGGATGAGAGCGTCCTCTGCCGTCTTGCGGTCGCAGCTGCCGGCAAACCAAACCTTGTTATACACACCAGCTTCCTGTGTGAGAGAACTGAAGAGTTAGACTGACAGAGAAATGCATGCTGGGATGTTCTTGATTCAGGGGCACTTCATTCTCCGTCAGAGCCAAAGCTTCTTGATTTTAAAAAAAGGTTCATTAGTTAACTTCAGTTAATGTATTTCCAAACAATGAGGAATGCATCTGTTATTGTATTAATGTTAGTTAATAAAAACACAGTTAGTTCACAGTGCATTAACTAATGTTAACAAACACAACCTTTGATTTTTAATAACGTATTAGTAAATGTTGTTCATTCTTAGTTCATGTTAACTAATGAACCTTATTGTAAAGTGTTACCGATGTAAGGAAGTCAAGAAAATAATATAATCACCTCCTCAGCGTCTCTTGCTGATCTGCCCTCTGAAGGCAACGTCCCTCTGCCTGGATAAAATAATATTAATAAACCGAAAGACTAGACAGATCTCATGTCTATATTTGCCTTATAAATGTGTGAATCTTACTGTGAGCGGGAGCTTGTCGAGGCAAAGGCATTCTGCAGGAGAACAGGAGTTGTAACTAATGACTAATGTTTACGGTAAAATAAAACGAGCCTGTCATCTCGCATGTCTCACCTGGCTCGACGAATCCCTGTCGGCGACGGACTCGATTTGGTGTCTGGTGGGCTTCGTGGGATAATTACTGGTGTTGTTTTAGTTGATGATGCTGTAACCATGTGAGATCATGTGACCAAACCAACAAAAGGTCTTCGTTTAGATTGCACTATATAAATGCACTGGAGACTTTCATGTTGGTTACAGCTACAGGTTATATTTATAATAGCACACTAGCACTGTGCAGAAGGCTATATGCATGCATGCAAGGATGTGCCAAATTTGTGCATTGTAAAAAAGTAAAGGTGTAATATATATTGCAATGCAAAAATGCAAAAATATGTATTGTGGATAGTGACAATACAGGTGAAACTCAAACTAGAAGATCGTGCAAAAGTTCATTTATTTCAGTAATTCAACTTAAAAAGTGAAACTAATATATTATATAGACTCATTACATGCAAAGTGAGATATTTCAAGCCTTTATTTGTTATAATTTTGATGATTTTGAAAAGCCCAAAGTCAAAATTAGAATATTGTAAAAAAGGTGTAAGTCATAATCATCAAAATTACAACAAATAAAGGCTTGAAATATCTCACTTTGCATGTAATGAGTCTATATAATATATTAGTTTCACCTTTTAATTGCTGAAATGAACTTTTGCATGATATTCTGAGTTTTTTAGTTTCACCTGTAAATGCATAATAAAAAAAAATACTTTTATTGCTTAATGAAATTTGATGTACACTGTAAAAAAAATATTGATGGTTAAACTTAAAAAAGTAAGTAACCTGGATTAATTTAACCATCAGAAACTCAAAATTATATGTTATCTGAACTAAATTAATTATTTCAGTTGATTTGACAAAAGAAAAAATGTTGTGATTACTACACTGTAAAAAAAAATATTGTTGGTTTAACTTAAAAAAGTAAGTAACCTGGTTGCCTTAAAATGTTAAGTTGATTGAACTGGAAAAAGTGAGTTAATACAATGAAGTAGATTAATTTAACCATCAGAAACTCGAAATAATAATTATTTTTTATTGTAAAGTTGATTTGATTTGAAGAAAAAATGTTGTGATAACAAATCTTGAAAATATTTTTTACAGTGTAGTTTAAATATTATTTAAATAAATTAACTTTTGCACAATATTCAGATTTTTCGAGTTTATAGTGTATCTCACCCAAAATTAAAAAAATATATATATGTGAAAAGTTGTATTGTCATTACTTTTGCTATTCTATGACAATCTCATGATGAGGGATTTATAGTTACCTTCACTATCTCTGCGAGGAACGCTTGGTTTCTGCAACAATGGATGCATATGTTCACAAAATGTTTGATTTCAATAATAATGCATGACTGTTTTTAAAGAAATTAGATGTGTGTACCGTTGCAGGTATCGAAGCAGGATTTGGTTTCATCCTAAAACAACAGAAGTGATGAACTGTTAGTGAATCAGATATAATGCATGTATAATAGTCGAGGGTTTCCAGGTCTTACAGGTCTCGAGGTCGAGGTGTCGGCATTGATGGTCTCCGGGTCTCCGTCGTCTCCTCTGGTCTCTCGTTAACTCCTAACGAGTGTCAGAAAATAGATGGTTTTCAAGAGAGATTGTTTTTCTGCATTCATTTGCTCAGGTTTAGTGTGTGTAACTGTCTGATACTCACTGTCATTTCCTTCACACACCTCATAATCGTCATCTGATTGGGGTTCCTGCTCAGACACATCGTGGAATAAGACCGTCAGCATATTCTCAGTTCAAAAAATGTGCTATTTAATCACTTATTAACATTCAAAACAAATGTACATTTTGGATAGGCTGGCAACAAAGGTCAAAAGTCAAACAGTTGTCAATGCATTAGCTATGATAAACGAAAAATATGTGTGTGTGTATATATATTGGGGATGCACCGATATGAACATTTTAGCCAATACCGATAATTTTTGTATATTTGAAAGCCGATAACCGATATATCGGCCGATAAATTTAAATAACATATTTTTTTTCACGAAAACCAGCCAACGGTTTTTTATTATTTTTAAAAATAAAAATAATAAAAAATTATTTTTATTATTATTATTTTTTTTTATTAAGGATTTTCAAATAATACAAACATCAAAAACAAAAATAGACAAACAATCAACAAACAAACCCCAGGCAATAACATAATTTTTGAGTGCCTGATTACAAAATCAAAAGTCTCACCATTAAAAGTCCCCTGCACACATTTTATAATTTTCACTTATACTGTATTTGACGTTATTTTCCTTTTTTTTTTAAGTGATTACAATAATATTTCAAGCAATTCAAAAACATCACGTTGAACATCATTTTTGTGTCAGCTGGTGGAAATAATCCATTATTTATCAGCTTTAATATTTTGGCCAAATTTTCCGATAACGATAACATTAAAAATGAACATTTATCGGCTGATAATACTGGTCAATATATTATGCATCCCATATTATATGTATATATATTAGTCACTTCTGAAATTTTCAACTTGTTCATTGTTAGTCCATGTTAACTTTGATGCAAAATAACATTCTTATTTTTTAGTGTTATTTTACTCTTAGTAATTGCAGTTCTTGCGTATATTATTGATGAATTAATGAATGAATTGATGATCAATCAATACTCACTGGAGACGATGGCCTTCTGGCGTGCATTCTGTACGAATAGATAAAACATGGAAAAACTTGATTTGTTTTTAATTTGTGCATTCATCTCTTTCGTTTGGTACATTTATAATTTTGTAGTGTTTTGAGAGACGGCTCCGAAGCTTCACATTGTTAGAAAAACTATTAAAATGGTAAATGTTTGTAATGGTGATCGTGTAAGAATGGCTGTAATACCGTGGACTGGCTTTAGGAGGCGCCATCTGTGTGTTCAGCTGCAGAGTCTCCTTACCTCTAATGATCAGAACATTTATTGACACAACATCAATATAAAAGAGAGAAGCAAGTGTGCTGAGGACATTTAGGAGTGAATATGCTTCATGTAGTGTGGATTTGAACGTATAAAAACATCTTCAAGCACTGGGAATAATTGAGTGTAATTAGTCCTGTCAGAAACTGAGTTTAACACCGTTTTGAAACATAGCTAGTTTAATGTGTGTAATATAAATAATATAGTTGATTGGGAAGTTTTACCTTTTGTTAGATTGTGAATTCTCCTGTAAAAAGACAGAAAGCATTTTTTTTTCAGAGGGCAAAGATTAATTTTAGAAGCTTAAAGGATGAATCGCACAAGTCCATGTCATATTTTATGCAAAAATCATTAACAAAATTAATTTTGCATGATGGTATGATGGTGTAATTACTACCTGTAATTTCTGCTGAATTTAACCACGATAATAATAATAAAAATTGTTCTGATTTTCAAAATTGTTAATTGCATTGTTATAATAACCACTGAAAACGCCATTAATCACATCTAACATTAAAGTTTTTGTTTATATAATATATGTGTGTATAGACATATGTATATACGTAAATATAATTCAGTATATACATATTATATAAACAAAAACTTTTATGTCAGATGTGATTAATCGAAATACATATAAACAGTAATGAGGTTTTGGGGATAATGTTGTGTAATTAATGTTTCTTAATAAAAATAAAAAATTCTTAAAATACAATCTGCACACAATACATGCGTCAATATTAGGGCTGTCAAACGATTAATCGGGATTAATCACATTCAAAATAAAAGTTTACATGTTGTGTTTACATAATATATGTGGGTGCACTGTGTATAATTATTTTGTATATATAAATACACACACATGCTTGTATATATTTAAGAAAGATTTTCATGTAATTACTGTGTATAGATTTATATATAATTTATATTATATATAAATATAAATATTTTATATATACATAATATTTTTTTCTTAAATATATACATGCATGTGTGTATTTATATATATAAAGTAATTATACACAGTGCACCCACATATATTATATAAACACAAAACTTTTATTTTGGATGCGATTAATCGCGATTAATCGTTTGACAGCCCTAGTCAATATATAACATCAGTGACCTGCACAAAGCTCTATTGATTTAAGCTTACCTTTATGTCCGGAACCTCATAGAAATCTGAAAACAAGTGCGGTAAATGCGGTTTCAATATTTGATCAAATAAATCTAGTGAAACTGTGGACATCTTGAAAAATAATCTCACCGGGACCGTTTCCACACGCAGGAACACTAGGTTTGACCCCTCTGTTAACCGCCGGCTCTGGAAATAGACATCATTAGAGCTTGATTTATTAATAATAACAATAATTCAGTGTGCTACAGCATTTAAAACGCCTTCATCATCTTACTTGTTAGTGTTTTCTCAGTGGGGTCAATGTAATTATCCTCCATCTCGCCCTCTGGCTCAATGTAATCTCCCTGAAGAGAGAGAGAGTGTTGTGGTATCAGGACTTTATTGTGCAGTAAATTAAAGTGTGTGTTAAGGTAACGGTGCGAGCCATTATTATTACATCATCTTCCTCTGTCCGACTGCGGGTCAGCCGGGGGGGTTTGTGCCGATGTTGCGGAAGGAAAGGAGTGTTTGGTTTTGCCGGTCGACCACGACAGCTGTCTGATGTACAGAAGAAACACACCGGGTTTACAAGCCGTAGAAATCAACCTTTTAGAATTATGTCATCAGTTACTCAACATTGTAAAAAATAAAACCGTAATTTTTACGGTAAAAAAACAGCAGCGGTGTTTGTCAGAACTTTACCGTCAAAAATACGGTAGCAACGTTATTGGTTTTACAGACTGAACTTAAAATTTACAGTAATAAACCGTATTTAATTATTATCTGATTTAATGTTAATTTACCAACTTATTGATGTATTTATTTTTGTTTTGTACCATTGCACCAATGATTGTCACATGATCAATCACAAGCAGATTTCCCACAAGAAGGTTTTTACTTGTATACTGTAAAGAGACGCTGCACAGTGTCATTCACACAAACGTTAAACACCATCATGGTGAAATAAAAAATTAATAATTTAACAACATTAAATGTAACATAAAACGCTAATGTACATAACTGATCAGAAAAAAAACTGTTATTTCAACAAAAATACATCAACTGTGAAGTTTCACGCAAGAAATTGTGGGAATGTCAATTTACGTTTTTTCACTGTAAATTATACGAGTTGTTCTTTTTTACTTTCAAAAACGGTATTTTACAGTAAAATTACGTTAGTTTGCAGTTCTCACGCATGCGTCGTGGAAATCTCTTGAAATCTGGTTATTACAAGCTTACCGCTTTGAATCGAGCTACGGCAAGCAGAGAGTTTTGAACACTGGCTGGTTATGTACTTTCTGAAAATTTTATTTTGGATCATTTTTAACCCAAAAAAGTTACGGACTGCAGCTTTAAGTTATTTAACAAAAAATAACAATTTGCAATATAAAGCAGTAGAACTACGGAAGAGGATTAGGGCCAAACAATAATAAAAAAATAAAACCATCTCGAGATTAAAGTCATTATAATGCGAGATTAAACTTGTTAAATTTCGAGAAAAAAGTCGAAATACAATCTTGAGAATAAACTCATTAAATAACGAGATTAAAGTCATTATAATGTGAGATTAAACTCATTACATTTCGAGAAAAAAGTCGAAATACAATCTTGAGAATAAACTCATTAAATAATTATAATACGAGATTAAACTTGTTAAATTTCGAGAAAAAAGTCGAAATACAATCTTGAGAATAAACTCATTAAACAACGAGATTAAAGTCATTATAATGCGAGATTAAACTCGTTAAATTTGGAGAAAAAAAGTCGAAATACAATCTTGAGAATAAACTCATTAAATATCGAGATTAAAGTCATTATAATGCGAGATTAAACTTGTTAAATTTCGAGAAAAAAGTCGAAATACAATCTTGAGAATAAACTCATTAAATATCGAGATTAAAGTCATTATAATGCGAGATTAAACTTGTTAAATTTCGAGAAAAAAGTCGAAATACAATCTTGAGAATAAACTCATTAAATAATTATAATACGAGATTAAACTTGTTAAATTTCGAGAAAAAAGTTGAAATACAATCTTGAGAATAAACTCATTAAACAACGAGATTAAAGTCATTATAATGCGAGATTAAACTCGTTAAATTTGGAGAAAAAAGTCGAAATACAATCTTGAGAATAAACTCATTAAATATCGAGATTAAAGTCATTATAATGCGAGATTAAACTTGTTAAATTTTGAGAAAAAAGTCGAAATACAATCTTGAGAATAAACTGATTAAATAATTATAATACGAGATTAAACTTGTTAAATTTCGAGAAAAAAGTCGAAATACAATCTTGAGATTAAACTCATTAAATATCGAGATTAAAGTCATTATAATGCGAGATTAAACTCATTAAATTTCGAGAAAAAAAGTCGAAATACAATCTTGAGAATAAACTCATTAAATATCGAGATTAAAGTCATTATAATGCGAGATTAAACTTGTTAAATTTCGAGAAAAAAGTCGAAATACAATCTTGAGAATAAACTCATTAAAGTCATTATAATGCGAGATTAAACTTGTTAAATTTCGAGAAAAAAGTCGAAATACAATCTTGAGAATAAACTCATTAAACAACGAGATTAAAGTCATTATAATGCGAGATTAAACTCGTTAAATTTGGAGAAAAAAGTCGAAATACAATCTTGAGAATAAACTCATTAAATATCGAGATTAAAGTCATTATAATGCGAGATTAAACTTGTTAAATTTTGAGAAAAAAGTCGAAATACAATCTTGAGAATAAACTGATTAAATAATTATAATACGAGATTAAACTTGTTAAATTTCGAGAAAAAAGTCGAAATACAATCTGGAGATTAAACTCATTAAATATCGAGATTAAAGTCATTATAATGCGAGATTAAACTCATTAAATTTCGAGAAAAAAAGTCGAAATACAATCTTGAGAATAAACTCATTAAATATCGAGATTAAAGTCATTATAATGTGAGATTAAACTTGTTAAATTTCGAGAAAAAAGTCGAAATACAATCTTGAGAATAAACTCATTAAATAATTATAATACGAGATTAAACTTGTTAAATTTCGAGAAAAAAGTCGAAATACAATCTTGAGATTAAACTCATTAAATATCGAGATTAAAGTCATTATAATGCGAGATTAAACTCATTAAATTTCGAGAAAAAAAGTCGAAATACAATCTTGAGAATAAACTCATTAAATAATTATAATACGAGATTAAACTTGTTAAATTTCGAGAAAAAAGTCGAAATACAATCTTGAGATTAAACTCATTAAATTTCGAGAAAAAAAGTCGAAATACAATCTTGAGAATAAACTCATTAAATAACGAGATCAAAGTCATTATAATTCGAGATTGAAGTCGTTAAATTCTAAAATAAAGTAGTGTTTTGAGAAAAAAAAACTTGTTGATCCAAGGTGTGGAATTTCGACGAAGGAGACTTTGAACAGTTAAAATAACCCGAAGCGAATGAGATCGGACTCATCGGCACACTCAGGTTACAAATGCTAGAAAAGTAGGGTGGATATTAAGATCCAGTGTGTCGTGATACTCACTCACCCACATACTCTCCTCTGGAGTTGGAGATGGACGAGCCGATGGTGAAGCCCTTCATGCCGTGACCTTCTGACCTCGGCGGCGGCTCGTAGTTATCCTCATGGTCACCCTGTGGATCCTCATATGTGTCACTGTCCTGCAATAATGTCATCAGAGTCTCTTTAAACGTCCTGCTTTTACAACGGCAATAGTGGAGATTAATCGCTATAACTGCATTTTGAAAATTATACTTGTAATTTACATTTAATTTAATTAGTCGTACACAACAGTGTGATATTAGTATCAATGAGATCATATTATAGCATTTATTCATATTTTGAATTAGCATTTACTATTTTCAAGTTTTAGTAATTTGGTCGTGTGATTTTGTTCATTTTTATTAGTTTTGTTTTTTAAACTTTGCCGACAAAGTGACGGATGGCTTGTGATGGATTAATCACATCTAACATAACATTTTAAAAGTATATAATATGTGTGTGTAAGTAAGTGTGTGTACACTGAAAAAAATAATATGCTTTATCTAATCAATAAAATTGTGGCAACATATTACAAGCAATATTATTAATTAAATTGTACAAATTAGAATTAATTAGAATGTTAATTTGATTAACTATTACTCAATTCTAATTAGTTCAATTTAATAAATAATATTGCTTGTAATCTGTTGCCACAATTTTATTGATTAGATAAAGCATATTCATTTTTACAGTGTATGTGTGTGTGTGTATATATATATATATATATACTGTATATATTTGTTGCACTTTTTTTGTTTTATTTTATTTTTACTTTTTTATTTACTCCACCATATACAGTGCTCATATATTTGACTATAATTAGAACCATTTATTTGCTTAAATAAATATTTCAAAACTTTATTTACTGAAATTAACTCTGTAAAGAAAGGTTCTGCCTTAAGTACAATCAACTTGTTTAATGTTTAAGTAATTTCAATGTAAATTACATTAATCTGACTTAAAAGATGAGTTTAATCTTAGATATAAAAAGTTAAAAATATAAATTATTTTAATGAACTGCAATTTAAAAACATACAGTATGTTGTCATTACTTATTGATCATATGATTAGTTTTTAGGTGTATGGTGTGTTTTTAGATTTGTGCCATATCTCCCGTAAGTGAGCTGTGAATGTAGAAGTGATATTACTGAAGACTTACAAAATCTGAGTCAGAGTATCTCTCAGTATCCGGAGCTTCCCCTAAAAAGTGACACAACATGGTCATGTGGTCAGAAACTGAGTATATTTAGAATGAGTTTTAATGGTCCACAAATTCCCATGTGAAATCTGACTGTCATGCATGTCATTTTAAGCCTTTTTTAGGGCCAATGTATTATATTATTTCATAGTCAAGTCACCTTTATTTCAACGCGTTCTCATCCTAGGGCGTCATATAGGTGACGCTTTTGACATCCGACGCACATGGCACACTCTCAGAAAAAAAGGTACAAAAGCTGTCACTGGGGCTGTATACTTTTCAAAAGGTAAACTTTTGTCAATTTTAGGTGCTAATAATTACATTTTAGGTTGTAATATGTAATTTAGGTGCTAATAAGTACCATGTTAATATGTACATTTTAGGTGCCAATATGTACATTTTAGGTGCTCACATGTCCATTTCAGGAGCTAATATGTACATTTTAGGTGCTAATGCGTACATTTTAGGTGCTGATATATACATTTTAAGTGTTAATATGTACATTTCAGGTGCTAATATGTACATTTTGGGTGTTAATATGTACATTTTAGGTGATAATATGTCAATTTAAGGTGCTAATAAGTACATTTTATAGGTGTTAATAAGTACATTTTAGGTGTTAATATGTACATTTTAGGTGCCAATATGTACATTTTAGGTGCTAATATGTCCATTTCATGAGATATTATATCCATTTTGGGTGCTAATATGTCCATTTTAAGTGCTAATATGTACATTTCAGGTGCTAATATGTACATTTCAGGTGCTAATATGTACAAAAGTGTACCTTTTGAAAAGGTACAGCCCCATTGACAGCTTTTGTACCTTTTTTTCTGAGAGTGTGCCCTTTAGCTTCAATATAACACTCTTCGGTTATGGGTAGGTTTAGGTCTGGGGTAGTGTTAGGGTTAGACCACTAGGAGGCGCCTTCTGCCCCGTCCCATATAAAGGGGCACGCACGAATATCGTGAAAAGTTTTTCATATCTGTAAGCCATAAACTAAAAAAATCAAAATTATAACAAATAAAGGCTTGAAATAACTCACATTGCATGTAATGAGTCTATTAGGTTAAACTTAAGTTGAATTACTGAAATAATTTGCACCATATTTTTCACGTTTCACCTGTAGATGCGCATTTTTCAACTGCACACTTTCTGTTTCTGTAGTGAGAGAGACTTGCCTTGATAGTCCCTTGCTGGTACTTTTGGAGGCCCTTTCTTCTTTATTCTGAAACAAAATCGAAAACAAGACAAAATACAGGAAGTTGTTGAGATTTGATATCAGCACATTGTGAATTGGTGATGCTGAGCGAGCGAGTGGATTATATTTTTCATTTGTCAGCAACCTTTAAACACTGCATCATATAATTACATGTAATCTACAACATGCAAAAGCCAAGACACACAATGGCAGGACGCATTTGCAAGGAATAATGAGACGGTTGTTAAAGTTAAAGCCAGATTACAGTAAGCCTTTCCAAAGAAGACACCACAAAGATGACGTAACGGTGGCTGTCTGGGGCCATTTCTTCACACAGAGACGAACAAGCAGAACATTTAAAGCTATTTTGCACTTGAAAAGAGCTGTTAAGCAAGATAATTTGCTTTTCAATAAGCCAAAATGAACTCGCAAATAACCCCGAAAAAGCAAATTTTAAGCAAACAGGCTAATGGATGAAGAAAACAATGATGTTAAGACACACATGCTTGCTTTTATTAGGATTCACGGCACAGAAACGCAGTGAAACATTGATCCTACCGGTCCAGCGTAGTTCTCCCGCTTTTGAGAATATTAGCGGTTTGTTCGTTCTGGAACCTTAAAAATGAATAAATGTAGTTATTTGTATTGATGATTAATATTAATTACATTTCCTAAAGAATAAAGTTGAAAAATTTGAATATCGTGCAAAAGTTCAGTAATTCAACTTAAAAGGTGAAACTAATATATTATATAGACTCATTACATGCAAAGTGAGATATTTCAAGCCTTTATTTGTTATAATTTAGATGATTATGGATAACAGATATGAAAAACTTTTCACAATATTCTAATTTTGAAATTTTTGAAATCTAATTTTCATAAATTGTAAACCATAATCAAAATTATAACAAATAAAGGCTTAAAATATCTCACTTTGCATGTAATGAGTCTATATAATATATTAGTTTCACATTTAAAGTTTAATTACTGAACTTTTGCACGATATTCAAATTTTTTGAGTTTAACCTGCACTGTAAAAATTAATGTCTAATCAAAAAAATTGTGGCAACAGATTACAAGCAATATTATTAAGTAAATTTAACAAATTAGAATTGAGTAATGATTAATCAAATTAATTCCTTAAAAGTTAACCATTTAAAATGAGTAAAATGTACAACAACAACAACCAAAAAAACATAAATTGAAGTCACCATTATGGTGATGTTGGCAATATAAAATAAAGAGTTCTTAATTAATATTTGACGTCTGTCTGTTATTCAGATATTTTTTGTTAAATTTTTTGGTGTAAACTTTACTCATTTTAAATGGTTAACTTTTAAGGAATAATTTGATTAATTTGTTAAATATAATTAACAACATTGCTTGTAATCTGTTGCCACAGTTCTATTGATTAGATAAAGCATATTCATTTTTACAGTGTGTATGTGTGTGCAATCTAGAGTATTTTATTGCTGAAAACGGTCAGTTGCGTATAGACACAAAGAATCATTCATGTCTGGCGTGCGATGGTGCATGACAAAAATGCATTGAAGTGCAACGAAGTTTCATATACTTTGAAGGTTTTGAAAAACACCTAATCATTAATAATACAACAATGCGATGTTGGCAAACAATGCGGTAATTGCATAAGGAATGAGGCAAAACTGTTTAGGTTTTATTTCTGTTACTCTAATGAATGTTTTGGACTGCAGGTGTCCTTTTATTAATAGTTGCTTGCTCTTGATGCACGTACTACAGTTTTCCGTCATGCACGCCACACCTCACGGCCTGTTTTGGGACTATTCCTCCAAATGAATTGAGGAAGTGAGAGGAAATGTGTCACCAGATGTTTCCTTGTGTCTGTTTTCAGACTAGTGTCCTTAAGCTCAGAACATAAACCATATAACATACCTTTTTAGTCTGTTGAAAAGGCTGTCGTCGTTCTTCTTTATATCTTGAACCATTTTCTGGAGTTGCCTGAAAAACACATCGAGAGTTAATAAAAGCACTCCTTGGACAAGAGTCTCTTCTGCTCAGCCAGGCTGCATTTATTTGATCAAAAATACCAACACTATCTCACGACCAATTCGTACGAATTCGACGCATGATTAAAAAGTGGCTAATTCGTACTAATTCGTACGACCTCACTCGTACTAATTCGTACGATTTGTCTAAACCCACGTGATGGTTAAGTTTAGGGGCGGGGTAAGGGGTAGGTCATTCGTACGAATTCATAAGAATTGGCCAATTCGTAAAATATGTACGATTTAGCAAAATCGTATTAATTCGTACGAGTGAGGTCGTATGAATTGTTACGAATTAGCCACTTTTTAATCATTCGTCGAATTCGTACGACTTGGTCGTGAGATCGGGTTGAAAATACAGTAAAAACTGCAAAAAAAATTATTACAATTTAAAATATCAGTTTTCTATGTGATATAGTGAAGTGTAATTTATTCCTGTGGTAATTACTCCAGTCTTCAGTGTCACATGATCCTTCAGAAATCACTCTAATATGATGATCTGATGCTCGGGAAATATTTATAATTATTTAGTGTTGAAAACGGTTCATATGTAACATGATTCATATTTTTGTGTAAACAATAACAGATAGATAGATAGATAGATAGATAGATAGATAGATAGATAGATAGATAGACAGATAGATAGATAGATAGATAGATAGATAGATAGATAGATAGAGTTTTTTAGTTAGATAGATAGATAGATAGATAGATAGATAGATAGATAGATAGATAGAGTTATTTAGTTAGATAGATAGATAGATAGATAGATAGATAGATAGATAGATAGATAGATAGATAGATAGATAGATAGATAGATAGAGTTTTTTAGTTAGATAGATAGATAGAGTTAGATAGATAGATAGATAGATAGATAGATAGATAGATAGATAGATAGATATATAGATAGATAGATAGATAGATAGATAGATAGTGTTATTTAGTTTGATAGATAGATATAGATAGTTAGAGTTAGATAGATAGATAGATAGATAGATAGATAGATAGATAGATAGAGTTAGTTCGTTAGATAGATACAGTAAATAGATAGATACAGTTATAGTTAGTTAGTTAGTTAGTTAGTTAGTTAGTTAGTTAGTTAGTTAGTTAGATACAGTAGATAGATAGATAGATAGATAGATAGATAGATAGATAGATAGATAGATAGATAGATAGATAGATAGATAGATAGATAGATAGATAGATAGATAGATAGTGTTATTTAGTTTGATAGATAGATATAGATAGATAGATAGAGATAGATAGATAGATAGATAGATAGATAGATAGATAGATAGATAGATAGATAGATAGATAGATAGATAGATAGATAGATAGATACACTCTAAAAAATGCTGGGTTGTTTTAACCCAACTTTGGGTCAAATATGGACTAACCCAGTCGTTGGGTTAAATTTTTACATTACATTTTTAACCCAACATTTCGGGTTTGTCCATATTTGACCCAAAATTGGGTTAAAACAACCCAGCATTTTTTAGAGTGTAGATAGATAGATAGATAGATAGATAGATAGATAGATAGATAGATAGATAGATAGATAGATAGATAGATAGATAGATAGATAGATAGATAGATAGATATTCCAATCTAGGATGGATAGATATTAGATAGATATTTAAGTCGTGTGATAGGCATGAGTAGCTACACAAGCAGTCGTGAATCTCTCACACTCAGCGTCTCTTCGAGCGTAAACGCGTTGAATTGTGTGTTTTAACATCTAATCAAAGATGACGGGTTCTGACAGACGAGACGTATAATGAACATAACCACAGTCCTCACAGAACTTCCCTCCAACAGCAGCTCTAACTTCACTAAACCCGCCGACAGTCACATGATCATCCGCACGTCAGGGATCCATCAATCACGCTGAACCCATTCCTGATTAAATGGGTTTTTTTTCCCACACATTTTGAGAGATGCAGATAAAAAATATTTTAATTAAAATCAGTGCTAATTTGTGTTTACATAATATATGTGTGTGTACTGTGTATTACTTTTGTATAAGAATACACACACATGTATGTATAGGCTATTTATAGGCTACATAATTTATATGATATATAAATATGAATATTTTACATGCATATACACAAAATAATTATACACAGTAGGCCTACTCACACATATAATTACACAAACTTTTAGTTTGGATGCGATTAATCGCGACTATTCGTTACCCAGCGCTAATTTAAAAAAGCAATTTAAGGTCTGACAATAAACCTTTGATCCCTGTATGAAGCAGTTTTATTCTCTTAGCATTAAATCTTTGTTAATCTAAGCGCGGGAAACCTCCGAATGCATTAAGTGTCAGTGAAAGCGATGTCTCTCACCTCAGTTTGTCAGTCGCAGGAGCCGTGAATCTGTTGAGCTGCTCCATCGTGTGTAAGTGTGTGTGTGTCCACGACTGAGCTCGTCGAGTGTGTCGCGCGTACTCATGTGTGTGTGTGTTGGTGAGACACCACATGCTGCAGATGCAGAGGAGGGACATTTTCCACAGAAGTGGTTCGTAATGAGGATTTCGAAACTGCCGTTGAACGTCATGTTATCTCTATATTTAGAGTCGAGTCAGGTTAAACTGATTCGGTTCAATTAAATCTCTGGACTCTCAGTTCTCCGTCTGTGCTTTTTCCAGCCTTTTTATGCCTAATAATAATTATGAATGATTTAGTCTTAAAATTATTGCATTGGTCTTCTGATGCATACGAATCTGCGCTATGAATGAGGTTTAATGCAGTTGTATTAACACATTTACTCGTATTTTTCTGCATGGACACGAAACTTTTCTTGAAAGGTTTTGAAAGGGTTAGTGAAAGTGTGTGCTTTATTTTTAGTTGCAGTACAAAAATAAAGTAACAATGTTGTAGGCTAATGTAGATATTGTGACGACTATATTTCTTTGTAAACCCTTTTTTCTATAAATTTACTTAAAGCCATTATTCATAATGTATGTTTTGATCTTTTTCTAATTAAAACCAAAGTTAAAATGCATTATAGGCTAGGTAGATTCCTTTGTCATGTTTTAATGCATTATATACTTAAAGGTATACTCCACTTTTTTTTTGGAAATAGGCTCATTTTACAACTCCCCCAGAGTTAAATAGTTGGGTTTTACCTTTTTCAAATCCATTCAGCTGGTTTTCAGATTTTTAGAAGAATATCAGTAACCAGACAGTTTCTGGTCTCATTGACTTCCATAAAAAATATACTATGGAAGTCAATGAGACCAGAAACTGTCTGGTTACTGATATTCTTCTAAAAATCTGAAAATCAGCTGAATGGATTCGAAAACTGTAAAACTCGTCTGTTTAACTCTGGGGGAGTTGTAAAATGAGCCTATTTCCAAAAAAAGTGGAGTAGGTGTAATAGGGAAAAAAAATATTATAACTGTACAAATAAACAATGCATCATAAGGCGCATTAAAAGGCAAAATTAATGCATTAAAATACTTTTAGAATTCATTATATATATATATAATATATATATATCTTCAAGTAAATTGCTACCCCATTTTTATTGCTGAAATTTCAAAGTTTTTTTTATTGCTGAAAATATTTTTTTTAGATGCACAAGCCACAAACCTGCTTTGTGTACGTTTAAAACTAGAGCGTTTCCTCATTTCTGCAGGCAATCATTGACCAATGAGGAACACATGAGGAACAATACGGAGAATTTAGCTCTATAAGTGCCTGGTTGCAGAGTTTAGAGTAGAAAAAGAAGAGAAACCGGTTCCTTACGGCCGATGAAGGAGGCTGAATCTGTTGAGGTCACCGTCCGCCAGAGTCTGCGAAACACACAACAGTGTTCAAAACCTGCACTGCAACTTCACTTCATGCAACTTCTACAAAGACATTTAGTCATATTCAGTTACAGTCCAGTTTCTGATACAAACACAAACTTGCCCTAGAGAATAAAAGTAAAAATAAACATTGCATGTGCTTTAATAATAGTATTTTAGGTCTCTCTCTCTCTCTCTATATATATATATATATATATATATATATAGAAATGAATGAGACATCCTAAAACACTATATATAGTAGGCTACTATGAGGAAAATACGGGGAATTTAGACATCCTAATTTACTTCATAAAGTACTATGAATCAGATGTCCTAATTTACTTCCTAAAATACTATATATATATTTTACTTCAGAATGCATTCAATATCATAAATTAGTTCAGAAATTGACTCAACAGTTTGTCACTGAAAGTGAAACTGTGCAACACTATATATATAAATGGGTAAATAATGTTTTAATGCTTTGTGTGATTAAGTTAAATCAGTCATTGTTTTACTGTAATTTAATGTATTTCATTATTGCATTTTATGCCACATAAAATCATAGCAGAAGTAAAATATTAAGTCTTGTGGCTTCATTGAGTTAAAATAAAATATATTCTGCCATTTATTCACTTTTTGGACGAATATAGGTGTAGCTGAGGAGAATTTGCACTCTTAAATATAATAATATAAAAGTGTGGAGTAGGAAAACAGCATATTACTTTGCAGAATGTGATTTAAAGTAACAAAAGTCGAGCCGAAAAGGTGAAATCATGCAACAACAAAAAATATGATCTTTTTTTAATGTAATCTTATAAATATGTGTAACGCTAATATGTGTAAAATATGCTTTAAACATTAGTATGCTACGCTTATAGGATCCACTGACTAATTCAGTGAGTAAGTTTTGTTTTGTTCCTAATTTAGCATCTTTGCTGTTATGTTTGGAATGAAATAGCAGCTCACTGAATTATGCAACAATAGATATTTCCATATAGTTTGCTGACCCAGATAGCGTGGTAACATTAATTCAATGTCGAGTTTTGATCCAAACCATCATTTTGGTTGAGATTGACATTTCAATGTTTAAAGTGTGTTGGATCAGCATTGAAATGTCAATGAAAGCCAGCAGCACACATGAGTGGAGACGGTGACACTGAACTAACGGTGATTTGCCCATTTTTATTTTGCATGTGCACTTCTCAATATAGTCTAAACATTACCTAGTGCTTCCTCATTAGAGAAAACAGGTGCATCCAATACAATCTCCTGACATACTTGCATGGACAGTTTCAAACAATGGTGCATCTACCTTATTTCTCTGTTTTGTGTGCTTATTTGTGGTGTTACTGTAATTAGATACATTAAAAGGTTAGTTTTTAATGTTTTCTACATCCTTAAAACATGCATCTTGCAATGATTACAGAAATAACCAAAACAATACAAAAAAGTCTGAAATTATTGTGGAGTATTTGACATTAAGTCTTTTATTTTATTTTATTCAATGCATATTTGAAACTTGTTATAAATATCCTGGATTTACAGTGTTTGTTACTTCTGTCTACTTTTTGCTCTTTACATATCTATAGTTGTGATTTCCTATCCTATTTGAGCACTGGTTATCCAGATTTGGTGATCCTGAAATGTTCCGGATCAGATTGATCCAATCCGATGTTGCTTTGAAAAACTGGCTCAAAAGTAAACTGGATTACGTGATCACGGATCGCAAAAAAAAAAAAGGATTACTAAATCCGGATCAAATTTATCCGGATTAAACCTTTTGAAAAACCGGCCCCTGCATCTTATCACTGCTTAATCAGGTAATCATTCATAATCCTGAATCTGAATTAAATTTGAGAAATGTAACTGATTTCCATTCAGTTAAACTGGTTTGGTTTCCACTGAAACACAACCACAAAAAACAGCTTGTGTTTATTAAGAGTGACTGACATGGCTATTTTAAAGAAAATGAGGTCTACATAAAGTGAATCTTCAACTTTAAAGGGATAATTCATGATCAAATGAAAATTATGTCATCATTTATTAACCCTGAAGTTGTTCCAAACCTGAATGAATGTCTTTCTTTGGTGCACACAAAAGAAGAGTGAAGGATGTTGGTAACCATGGTAGGCAGCCATTGATTTCCATGGAATTTTTTTCTGCTATGGAAACCAATAGCTTGTTTTCATATGACGTCACGCCACTGCGTTGCCATGGCGCGAAATGCAAATGGAGGGCAGGAAGTGATTTGCTGTATTTAGAAAGCAATATCCACAAGTTTCCGAGGGGCGCTCCTGTAAAAAACAAAGTGGGTGAAACTTCCGGTGAGGCGGCGGGAGTAGCATTCCAATGGTATTTTGTGTGTTAGTTAGCGAAGAGGCTAGCTGTGTTTCGGAGAATTATTTTATTATTTAAAGACGCAAATCTTTATGAGAGATGTCGTTACGGAGCTCAGGGACAACATGTGCTGTTCGCGGTTGTACGTATAACCGGACTAAACTAATTCAGTGGCTTAAACGGGATTGTTTTGAACATAAGCCGAAAACGAAATCAGAGTGATCCTGCCAACGACTGTAACGTTAGTTTCCATCACCTCCCAAAAGACGACGAATCTTCCTGTGTACATTTGTTTAAATTCTTAATATTCTCTAAACTCTCTCAGCATGTGTTTGGCTGTTCGCTACTGATGTCACACCTAAACTCAGGATCAAAGCCTGTGTTGACAGAATACCAAATGTGCCAGTTAGCACATTCATTTATAATTTTGAATAAACTCCAAAGCACAATGACTAAGTGTATTTTTTATTTTAATTGTTTGTCAGCTCACACAACTGTCTGTCACCACACCTTGATGAGTATTGATTATTAATAATGTTATTATAATACTCCCAATCAACTACTGCGGAGGGTAAAGGTACTGTTAATTCACCCTTTTTAATTTCGTTGAGGTTGTGTTCCCACATCGTTAGCTAGTTTGGATCGCTACAACTTGAATGACTGTCAACTGTTGAATGAACGAGTGTCAAGAATGTCAAGTCGCGCTTTGTTTACTTCCAACCGGAAGTCGCGCCCACTTTTGACGCAAGGCCTCATGGGGCGTAGGAAACTTGTGGATAGCCATAGATATATATACACTAGACGTCACCTTGGCTACGGCAGTTCATTGGAACGAATGCGTCAATAGAGCCGCCATCTTGAAACAGGGGAGCCCCTCCACAATCACCATAAATCCTCATGAACGCGATTTTTCTTGTTTTTTTGGTTTGTTCCAACGGTCAGACATGTATTTATCATTGATTCCAGAAAGATTTTTTTTTTTTAAACATCCTTCCTAGTTCAGATTTAATCCGTGCATCATACGCTGCACAAAAGTCCGCCACCATCAATGAATTCGAAGTAACGGCAGAGATAGCAGCGTTACCTAGCTACTTCCTATGACAAGACCCCTGTTCCAAGATGGCGGCGGTTTTGACGCATGCTTAGAACCCCAAGGTGAAGTCTAGTGTATATGTCTGATAGCAAACTCAAAATGCCTGTGTTTTGCGTCATTTATCGTTACTTAAATCGAACAAACCACACGGGGTTTTCATCGTGTACCAAAAGTTGTGGTTCATAAGGGGGGAATGATATTTTTGCTAGGCTTGCAAACCCACGTCTGCGGTCGGGAGGAGCTGAATGGGGAAAATGCTCGTTTGTGTAGCGATCACTTCGTCAAAGGTGAGTTAACACAACTTTATGTATTTAGAATCAACATCAAATTGTAGGCTAACATTGACGATCAAACCATATTACCAAAGATTATTCTTTTTAATTTAAGAGCTGATTCAACAGCAGTGATGTAGCCTATAGATTCAACATCATAGTGTAACGTTGATTCAACAATATTACCATTTATTATTTTTTGTTAATTTCAATATTGATTAAGCATCAGTGATGTAGAATCAAATCATAGTGCAAAGTTGATCCAATAGCATTGATTCCCATTGATTTTTTTTTTTTGAGGGTGCAAAAGTGATGTTGAAAAAATATCACTTTGTAATGTTGAATCAATACTATCTAGCCTATTACCATTGATTTTTGGTTGAAATCTCAACATTGCTTCAACATTAACTGAGGTTTCAAAAGTGACGTTGAAACAACATCACTTTGTAATGTTGGAGCAATAGCCTATTAACACCATTGAATTGTGGGTGAACATTATTTCAATATTAGGCCTAACTGAGGGTGCAAGAGTGATGCTAAATCAACATCACTTTCTAACGTCATTTCAATGTAATCCACATCAACACTGACTTAACATTGTTTCAATGGTTACATGCTATCTATCTGGGGAGGTTTTTTCCCCACTCATTAAATTATAAACGGTGTGAAATGAGAAAGTTCCCTGATTTGGACACTAGGTGGAGCCGTTACCCAGCAGTGAATCCACATATCCACTCAGTGTGTGTACTGTTGTGTGTGTTGGGGAAAGTGTTGTGACGTACTGGCATATATTAACAAGTCATAAAATCAATGGACAGAGCTTGATGAGTGTTAATAAATGACGAGGAGAGCATCCGAAGGAAGGAAATGTCCTCTGAGACTCACAGCGAGATCATTAATGCTGTAATTCGTCCTGAATATTTTAATTTTACATATTTATTTTTTATGTTAAAATTCTTTGGCCTCGTTTCATTTTGCACTTTTTAGTAGTTACTTTTTTGAGCTTCTTTTCCTTTCCTTTAACTTAACTTTATTTTGTTAGAGAGATGCTTTATATTTTATTACTTTTTTATGTTTGGAGATGCTGGAGTATCTTTGGCTGAAGGTGTATTTTTATTTGATTTTTTTTTTCTATTTATTGATTTACTTTATTTGGGTCACGGTGATGCTGGAACATCTTCGATGAAAGGCTTATTTTATTTATTTATTTATTTTTATTTGGTCAAGGTGATGCTGGAGCATCTAGGGCTGAAGTTTTATTTTATTCTTTCAACTTTTAATTTTAATTTAATTTTATT